ATAACGGAATTTTAGTGCAAAATCTCGGTAAGTTTGAGTCAATTTTAGTAGTAACATGTCTTTTTGTGTTGTTTGTTTTGTTTCAAATCTCGCCAACACTGTAAAAAATATGACCACTTCCTTGCTATACTTGTAGTGGAAGACCACAGGTCCCAAATGTGCCACTCCGTGCATTTTCAACGCGGACTCATAAGTACACAAACGATGTTCCATAATCTACTTGATTAAAATCCAATATTACTGGCGTAATTCGAACCTACAGCGATGAGGAGAAAGTGATTTGATGTAAAAGAACCTTACCACTTGGCCACGGATGACACATTTAGTTCCATGTAAATGTAGAGTATACAGTTTATTCTTTCTACAACACTTTTTTCCAAAAGAATGGAATTCTGAGTGTCCTGAGTTCGAGTCCCGGTCAGGGTGTACATTTTTGTGTCGCCTCTACGGAGTAGTGGCGACATATAGGGATCACTTCTCCGTCGTCTGTCTGCCCGTCTGTCTGTCCGTCCGTCCGTCCGTCACAAAACTTGTCCGGACTACTCCTCTTAAACCTCTGGTGCAATTTCATACAAACATTACAGAAATGATCAGTACCAAGTCTAGTTGTGCATATTGTCAGCATTTTCCGGTTCAATGATTTTTGTCAGAGTTATGGCCCTTTAATAATTTTTAATTTTAAAGTTTGTCCGGACTACTTCTCTTATACCACTAATGCAATTTCAATGAAACTTTACAGGATTGATCTGTAGCTCAAGTCCTTGCGCATATTGCACGGGTTTTCCGGTTGAATGATTTTTGGCCGAGTTATGGTCCTTTGATAAAAAGGTGTTTTTTTTTCTGTGTGTTGCCAGATACACAAAATCTTGTCCGGACTACTCGTCATAGACTACTGGTGCAATTTTATCCAAACTTTACAGGAATGATCAGTACCAAGTCTAGTTGTGCACTGCCGTCTGTCGAAAAAATTGTCTCAACATGAAATTGGCCATCATGAGGCGACACATGTGATCACTGATTGCTCTTGTTCTTACTCTGTGACATTAGGCACCGGCACCCAACGTGGGGCTGTGACTGCATATAACTCAGAGTTTGATTTACATTGCTCTGTAACTCTGTGAAATTTGAGGACGAATTTCAATATAGCAGGGGAGCATGTCACGGTTCAGAACTGTTCACTATTTAGGGGAGAAGATGTGTAAACGGCCAGATATCAGACGGCAGAGCCGCGGAACGGTATTCCGAGTGTCCCGGGTTCGAGTCCCGGTCAGGCTGAACATTTTTCTCTCTATGTGACGGATGGAAATAAATAACAAATGCATATAGAACTAAATTATGTATTGTCTGTTTACTGCAACTTATTCGAGCTTCTTTTCAACAACACACTAGTATATAAACATGTATAAGAAATGGATAAGGGTACTAAAATTCTCTTGTATCTTTATTAACCACATGTCAGCAGAGAAAAGTGCTCCAGGTACACCTATTTGGGAGGTAATTTTTTATCAGTGGTGTTATAAACCCATCCAGCTAGCTTGACAAAATAAACTGTATTTTTTGTCCCAGATACGAGTCAGTCCAATATGGGCTAAACCTAGACCATCCAATATGGAAACCGAATGAAATACACGTGGGGAAATACATATAGGTGCGCCTATATAACTCTGAAGTAGTCGTAAGACCCATTATAATTAACAAAATACTAATTTAACATTAGCATAATATTATACAATCCTGGATGTTTAAAAACAAAGTCCATAAAATTAATTTGCATAACTGTTAATTTATTATATATATATACTAGTAAATAAAGGATTTTTTTCATATACATTTTGTAAATTTTACAAAGAAACTGACATTTCACTGGCTCACTTAATTCTATGAGATGACCTTAATGATTTGTTCGTTAAATTATGGCATACTGTCTAAAAAGGCGTGTGTAAGGTCAATTGATACACATGTAACCAATGCCATACTCAAAAAACAAAAAAGGCGGCTTTAAGAATCAACGAATCATTTGACGTTATACCGCTTGTTAGAAGGCTATAATTATGTTGATTTTTCCACATGTTCTTTCAGATTCAGTTATATATCCCAGGTGAAACAGTTGTGAATTATTGCAAGGACCAGCGGAAACCTCAACCTAATCACAAACTTTCTACGGTAAAGCCGCAGACAAAAAATAATCCGGAATTCGAACACACAGTGGTGGGAACTTCAAGATCAGCAAACTTTAGATCTTGGACGCGGAAACAAAATACAAAAATTAGTACCAGAATGCAGTGAATTTATATTATTTTTTTTTTGTGTGTTTTGAGCAAGTTTGTGTGATCATTTTTTTTTCTATCAGCACCACTGAAAGTAAGACGACGTGTACAAGTTTTCATAATTTGCTAATATTCTATATAGCTTAAAATGGATAACTACTTCCCTACCAAATAACAAATACCAGAATGTTGTGTGTGGTTTATGATGATTCGAGTTCAACATCGCTATGAAAAGTATTTTAACTAGAAGGGTCAACGTTGAAAAAAATACAAAATTAAACGTTTCATACATCACAACAATATCTTCATATGAATACTCAAAATCAATTTTCGCCTCTTTATCATGATCAGTATTTGCATCGGTATTGCCGTCCATGCACCGCCCTCTTTTCCTGCTTGTTCTGATAGACCAACTTTAGCTGGAAAATCAACTTGTACTACAACTGACTGCGCAATTGTTTCGTCTCCAATTTTGGGCCTCCGTCTGAAAAGATAACACGATGGTATACATGTACATCTATAGTTTATCAGTGTGTTTAAAAGTCTAGAAACAAAGTGATCACTCGGAAGCATTAATCACAACAAAAATACTAAAGAATTGCAGACTCGGTTTGATTGAGTCTGTACATGAGGGATAATGAATAAGTGCAACATCCGGAGTTAAAGTCCGGAGATGTAGCTATGTATAATGATTTAGTGTTGTTAAAGTTACCATGTCCAACCTTTGTCGGTATTATTAAAAAAATACTTTGCTCATTTTGAGTAAAATAGTAGATTTTGGACTTCAACGGAATGATTTGCAACTTTTTTGACTGCCTGCCTATTGCATATGGGATAATTATCTTGTAGATTTGCAATCTTAAGGTATTAGGACCCTAATGGGCACTATCAGAAACTAAAAAATTGACATCATAGGTCAGATGTATACCTTAAAGTACACCTGTATGCAAAATTTACACAAAGTTTACCGTACGGATATCAAGTTATGGCCACTTTTCTGAACTCAAGCTAGGATGTTATGAGGGCACTTTTTTTAGAAATGCGGAACCTTTACATAATCTGCAATAACATTCTAATGAAAAATGTTTTCCCATTAATTTTTGGTAAGAAACAAATAGTACCATTCAGCTAACAATCCTCATAAGCAAAATTATGGTTTCTACTTTAAATTTATGAAATCTGTATAAAATGTTACCCTACCCCACCCATTTTTTATCACGTGTCCGACCATTTTTCTACTTAGGGAGCCTAATTTAAAAAAAATCTTAAAATTTACCCAAATGAGTGCCTGTTTTCAAAGTTTACTTAAATTTTTAAAAAGGTATATTGGTTGATCTTATAAAATATGAATTACTTTTACCGTCTAGTTTTGATTATATTACACTTTGAAAATATCAGGTACCATATTTATAACTAGATTAAGCATAATATAGCCAATAAATACCTATATAAATTAAAAAATCTAAATTAAACACTTTTTTCTTTCCAAATGGGACATGAGAGATACATTAATAATGTTTAAAGAAAAAAAAGAAAGAAAAAAAAAGTTGACCCTTCTGGGGATTGAACCCATGGCCCCTCATTTTCAATGTAGTTAACAGTAGTTCTAGCCTATTTGAATACTCTTCAAAGCGGAGGTAATGCATTGGGGTGCTAATACCTTAAGTCATATATGTTTTCAACAAAATGTGTTTTCATATTCCAAGTTGTGTAGTTTGGTATAAGAATTATTAGACGTATCGCTTGAAGGACATTGACGGCAGAAACTTGAAATTAACTGTGGAGTGCTACCTCAAAGTCTGTGAATGACACTTATTAAGGGGGCAGGTGACATATTCGAATGATGGCCCCGGTCATTTTTTTTAAATAACTCAGACATGGTGTTTTGAAGGTACTGGAAACTTCTGATATTTCTCCGTCATTGAAATTCTTTCTTGTTTGTGTGTAGGAAATGAGAAAGATTTTTGGGTTTTTACCCGAAACTAAGCATTTTGGTAGCTTTGTATGTATTTCTGACTCTCCGAATGGAGGTGAAAAAGTTAAAAATCAGGTTTTGACAGTTGGCGCCAAACAAGAAAGAATTTCAGATAAATTTTGTGAAAAATCTAAACGTATGACAGACACTTTATTGGTCATTTTTGAAAATTCCATAGCTTGCACTGCGTGTTGGTGATAACTTTAAAGGAATCGTATCGGGCGGATTCTTGAGTATGCTGCACCTTCATGAACATTGCCCATTTTTATTTTTTTTATTTTATGTGTGATTTTGGCTTGGTGGGGGTAAATATAAATTGCTGTCAGTCACTTTTTTTAAGGAGCAATGCATGCAAACTATTATTTTCTTCAATGTATGTCATATATCATTTAATAATGCTGTGCAACTGGTTATCTGCCTGTGAAACAGATTTTGAAATGTTTGGAATTGTGTTTCTGGTCACACTGAAATACAAAATTGTTCATTTTTAGGTCCCCTGTCCCCTAAAAATACCGAATGAGACTAAAAGAAGTGTTGGAGCACCACACTAAATACCGTATCACGGTATATACCGGACAAGGTGCTTGGATGAATAAATGCTGATATATCACCTTTTTACCCGCCGAAACGCAGTTTTAGACGTCTAATTCATCTCATTACACCGATTTATGTACAAGCAAAACTCCAAAACTCCAACACGTGATCGAGTTCAGTTCAAAGAAAATAGTAAAGAAAATAATTAACGTATACTAACCACTATCTTGCAGTCTTGAGAATCAAACGGGTAGTATTTGATGTTGATTGTGCACTGTGCTGTAAAGCTGGCAGGAATCAACCATCCAACAACTCCAAAACTGAGAAGGTAAACAGGGCAGCTTGCAATGTCTGAATTATCGTTCAGCAATTTAATTTCATCAGCGCTGAAAATACATATAAGCATTACATGTTTGCTTGTTTTTACTTACTCCTATATTTTTCAGGGTACACAATTTTGGTGTCGATAGTTTGCATGACATAATTGTCGCCATGTGTCATCTTTGATTGCAAAGAGAATGCATTTGTTCTGTGTGTCAAATTGTCTTAATGGTAAAAATCTAGAAACAATGAAATTGCTGAATGGTCAAATGCTTTTATCTTTTATTTCTCAAAGTTAGTTTTTATTTCGTTTTGGTGTACTTTTATATTATCCAAAATGTTACTGTTTGGCCAATTAGCTGAACCATTTTTTCGTCTGTTGCTTTTTGGCAATAAGTAGTTTTATTAAATTAGTACATGTATTTTGTATGGAAGTCAAAATACTACTTTGTTTACATTTTGCTACTTTCATAATGTTCATATTCATCGTTACTTTCTTCAGGTAAAAAGCATCTAACATTCTCTAAGACCATTATTTATACATTATAAAATTCATGTTTGGCCTTTCTAAAGATGCAAAAATATATTTCTCTCTGAGGCAAAATATGCCTTTAAGTGCACTGCGCAGAAAGGAAGTGCATTAAAACATGTCAGTCTGTATGGTTTATGGATTTATAGATATGATTACTGTGTTGAAACATATCCGTTGTGCTGTGATGTATACAAAATACTTACGCATTACTTAAAACAAGGGGCGGCGTCCATACGTCTGATATCTGAGGGTGTACATTGTAAACGGCCGTCTAGCCAAGACTGCAAGAAATAATTTTATGTGGTTAAAATCAACATTTGACTATTTGGTACAAAATCAAAGCAATTTACGTTACAAGCCAAAGAAAGCGTTCCAAGTCAATATGGATCGTTGAAGTTTCAAAATATTCTTGACAGAATCAGATTCTTGAATTTTTAACTTTAATAAATAATCAGATTATTTAAAGAAGAGACAAATACCTTTTGTAACTCCTTACAGAATATATGAACTAGTTTTAATTTATTAAAGAAATTTCGAAGTCTTTAATAATACTTGTTAAAGTGACAAGAAAATAGTGTCAATTTGTAAAAAATATAGGAAATATTTAGAGTAATAGTTGATTTATAATCCATTTAAAATAATAAAGATTTAAAACTGTTTAATGTGAAGTTTCATTTGATATATTTACAAAATAAACATACCGCGGTTATGAATCCCACACAATGTAAACGTTGGGAAACAATGTCCTGAAAGATCAGTACAATAATTTGATAAGCAATATTTCTTATAAATAATACATTTTGGTTGGGGTTTTTTTGTAGCATCAACACAAAAGAGATCATATGGCGACTTTCCAGCTTTACTGGTGCATTATATCAGGCACTAACGGACACCTGAGCAGAACCATCTACTTTCCGTGAGCCAGCCAGATAGCTTCCTCACATGAACAAATCAAAAATCCCTGTCAGGATTCGAACCCACAGCGATGTTTTGAAGTCAACGACCTTAACCACTCAGTCACTGACGGCCATATAAGCAGTATATGATTAATATGAACCAGTGTATCTTAAGATACATATGGTATCTTTTATTGTCCATTTAATGAAAAGCAGAACAATAATACACACTTTGTATATACGGTTTTAAAACATCTCAATTATTTTAATAGATACACAAACACAATCAAAAGCTAGCATAAAAACAAGCTAGTTGCATAATTCATAATAAAGCTTAATTAATACTGAATTCAGTCTTAACATCAAATTACGATATATAGAGTGTTCAAAACATCATGACCTCTCATTATTGATTAGAACATTAATATATGCATTATGCAAATGGTAAGATCACATATTCAAGGATTATTCCGTCGGTTCCACTAAGTATTAAATCTCACGGACCACCCTGGCAATACCAGAAAATACTGGATATTAGGATCAACGACTGAATATTGCGAATTTATTCGTATTAGTACATTCTAATACGGTTTAGTAAGGATGAAGGATGTGCTTTACTTTTTTATCCGTTGTCAAATATTAAACAAATACTACTATACACGACTACAGCTACGATACAGACCAATGCAGATTATCACGAATGATTTCGGCGTCAAATCAGTGGGTATTCAGAAATAACACTTTCGACGCTGTTTAATAATAATAATAATAATAATAATGACGATTGTTACCAGTTCCGTTATGTGCATAAGTCCGAACTGCAGGTCTATAGTTGTTTCATTTGCTGGCCTCAGTTTCTTTGAGTACGACGCGAACAAGTCGGTGTGTAATTTTTCTGTGTCGTTAATTGTGTAGGTTCCAACATTTTGTATGGCACCAAACCAAACTGAAATGTAAAATGCCCTACTTTAGATCTAGAAATTTCACGCAATCATGCTTTATGTCGACAGACAGACAGACAGACAGACAGAGAGACAGGTAGACAATTGATTCACTCAAATAAGGCTTATGGCGGGGACAGTAGCTTGATTTTACTACTACCGTCCATGAGTAGGCCCAATCAAACTGAGCATGCAACATTTTCAATTTTCCCGTGTTTGACTTTCTATAGGGTTGAATTTCTGTTTTATTCCATTTTATAAGCCTATGATGACATAATAACAGCATATTTACAGGAAAACGATCAAGATTATCATAGTAATGTTAATGTACAAAGTATAGCAGAATAACTCTGTCTAATTACTGGTCTATTTAAATACCTTTCACTGACGCATTGTAGCTATATATTCTGAATTTATTTATAAGTTCAACCAATTCGAACACTAGAGTACTAGATCATATCCAATAACGCGTATCAATATATTGTTATCTTATATCATTAAATAAAACACGTTTTAATATAAAATGATATTCGTCTTCGATTTGCCACATTGTATACAAATTATTTGATTTAAATGGGTCGTATGTGGCCAAGGTCATCTGCGAGCTTTAATTTAGAAACAAAACACGTGAACGGGAAAACGCTTGACGCTGAAAATGTTTAGACATTGAATATAGCTGAATTCTTAAAGATGATATTATGTCATTAAATAAGCTCTATTGTACTGAATATGTTTTGTTTTCCGGTTGTGAATAAAATGATAATTTAACCTTTGTTTTATAATATATAAAAACATCAAACCAAGCAGCAACCAATCCAAGTGAACATAGTTAATCTTTCAATATTGAACACCAATTGATGTATTTTACTATATATGATTTGAGGTAAAGATCCATTACGTTGTAATTAAGGATGTAACAGCACTTAGTATGTATATATTTATTCTTCTAAAACAATTTCCAAACAACCAAGAATATGTTAAATATGAACTGCTAATGTTTATACCCACAGGGAAATCTGTCATTATTTTATTAAATCTATATATATATAATATAAACAAGGGATAGAAGTCGTGGCCTCGCACTACCAGCACGGGTTCGTAAAATGCATTTACACGTGTAAACTGTATAAAATATCCTCTATTCCATCAAAGTTTTTGTAGAAGTTAATATATGAACGAGTCATTACCTAAGTTCTACTACAAACACTTCATTAAAACCTGTAACATTGCAGGAAATAATTTACATTTCAATATTTACATTGGCTGTCAAGTTGTCGTCCATTTTGCAGGTGTGTTTATATTCCGAGTATTTTCATTGGCTGATGAAAAAACCGCTATTCGTCGCGGCTATATGCCGTTATTAACCGGATTATTATTTTTCATTAGCCAATGAAATTGACAGTTACTAACAGAAGTTGGATTTACGCATTGGAACATACGGGCAACATCAAAATGGAAGCCGAAGATAGAAATCATCAAAACAAACATAAATTGTTACAATAATTTTTACTTGCATCATTGATGGTGGTGGATAATTGTTATTTAACCAAGTACATGATTAAACTTTCTTATAAGAGCATACGTTTGCTTTTACACGTGTAATTTTACAAACCGAAATTTTACGAAAGTGTGTAAAAATGAAACATGAAAGTTTATTTTTAATAATATCTTGTCCATGTAACAAAGCGAGTCATTTTGTTTTAAATTATCGATTATTTCATCAATGTCCTACAATCAGAAGAAAAAAACTGTTGTATACTGCGTTGTATTCACTTTTTCATGAATTGAGGAATTTTGAGTTGTAGCCCTTGTTATATTATATATATAGTGGGAAAGGAAAAGAAATGACAGAATCCCCTGTGTTTATACCCATTTTAAGTTATCACTAAATTATTAAAATATACGAGGGCTGCTGTTTATTGTCCTTTATTTTGTGATCCACGTGGGACACGACAATAAACAATTCATATCTGTATAGGGTAATTAAATACCTACACAACAGTGTACAAATGTACATGTTGTTACGAGCCAGGCGTAACGAGAAAGAAAAGCCAGCAACAAACTTGTAACAATAACAAATTTATTACAGAAAAATTATTAAAGAAAAATAAAATAACAAATTATGATTACAAATACCTGAAGTCCAAATAAAAATGAAAATTACAAATGTCTAGTCTGATCCTGGAATGATCCTTTTTGAATAGCACAGTTTAATCCAAGTTAAATCCAAGAACACTTTAGAATAAATTCCCACAATAAAATCCACAAGAATAATTAATAATCCAAGCTCCAATAAATCACTGAATTTCCAAGTTGAATAATAGTGCAAATATATTGATTTCTTAAAAGGTTACTGATGACTTAATAGATCACTGATGACTAAAAAGGTAAAAGTAATGAAAAATGTCTCATTATATATATTAACTAAGAAGTTTCTAGAATAGTCTTCCATTTACTACAGTAATCATAATCTAGCAACTTCACCAATAAAGATCATTCCTGAAATTTCTATCAAAATATAATGCATGAGTTTTCTACAACAGTTAAGAACGTTCTAGTACATACATGTAGTTTATGTTCTAAAAATAGAACAATGATAATATTGGAAATACCAACTGGTCAGATACAAACTATATACATGTAATATGTTGCATACATAACACTTCCCCTCTTCAAGAAAAAGAAATATGAATGAAATGAATATTTCTTTTACATAAATCCAAACAATGTAACTTACAAATAACATAGGAGAAATGTTAAACAATTTTATACATTCATTCATATATATGTGTCTTACAAACAATAGCAAACAACAACAAAACAAAATCAATCATATCATATACATGTTTAATTTAAAATACTGCAAATAACAGTTTTAGACACGTGAAAGTGCATCAGGGACTAAATTATCTTTCCCTTTAATGTGTCTAATGTCAAGACTATATTCTTGCAAAAATAAGCTCCACCTCAACAACCTTTGATTTTTGTTTTTAAGTTTATGCAAGAAAGTGAGGGGATTGTGATCACTAAAGACAACGACAGGCAACTTTGAAGAAGTTAGATAAACTTCAAAATGCTGAATAGCAAGAATAAGAGCAAGGCACTCTTTCTCTATAGTAGAGTAATTTTTCTGATGTTCATTAAACTTTTGAGAAAAGTAACAAACAGGATGGTCAACACCATTGTTGTCTTCTTGGATCAATACACTTCCAGCACCTATGTCACTAGCATCTACAGCTAACTTAAAGTTTTTATTAAAATCTGATGCCAAGAGAACTGGTGCACTCTTAAGTAATGGCTTTAAGGCTGTCAAAATGCCATTTGACACTTGTCATTCCAAATGAATTTGTTTCTTTTCTTTAACAAATTTGTCAATGGTTCTGCAATAACCGAAAAATTATTACAAAATTTACGATGATACCCTGCCATTCCAAGAAATCGCATCAGTTGTCTTTTACAAGTTGGCACAGGAAATTCAGAGATAGCTTTGACCTTAGCTTCTATTGGTTTAACTTTACCCTGTCCCACTACATGTCCTAAAAATGTTAAAATTGCATGACAAAATTCACTTTTTGCAAGATTAACTGTCAATTTAGCATCACTAAGTCGGTCGAAGAATGCTCGTATAGTTTTGAGATGTTCCTCCCATTCATCAGAGTAGATGATTGCGTCATCAATGTATGCGTCACATCCGTGTAGCCCAGATATTACCATGTTAATAAGTCTCTGAAAAGTTGCTGGTGAGTTTTTCATACCAAATGGCATGGCTTTATATTGATATAAGCCGTCTGGTGTTACAAAGGCTGATATTTCTTTAGCTCTATCAGTAAGTGGAACTTGCCAGAATCCTTTTAGAAGATCAAACTTTGTTACATACTTTGCTTTTCCAATTTTGTCAATACAATCATCA